GCAGGAGATCCTCAAAATTTTGAATTTATTCTGGATCTGTTTCAGATTAGCAATATATGCCCTGCGAGAGCTAGTGAAGCCCTTGCCTCTTGAGGCTGGGAGTGATGGATCTTGACCAGAGTTGAGGTTACAGGTGGTAGTTAGCAGAGAAGATAGTGGGACAACTTAATGAGAAAGGGATTCAGAAAATAATTAATTGCAAGTCTTCTGTATTTAGAAATTAATAAAAGGGGGAATAAAAATGAAACATATCTCCTGGAGTATGGTCTGTGAAGTAATAAATGACAGGCAAGAACTTGTGTGATGATGTCCAGTGGAGGAGGTGGCACACAAGAAACTCAGTCTGTTTTCCTATTTGGTGGTGATACAACTTAAGTATCTTCTAATCTAATTACTGTTCTGGCCGTTCATTCTGACTTGTTCTTGAGAATTTGTACCATTTGACTGTAAGGAGAGAGGTCAAATGGACTGAAAAAGAGAATCTTTTTCATAGGATGGTTTGGGGTTTTTTTTGGTAAAAGGAGTTTGATGAAGAATGCCAGGATATTACTGGCATGAATCAGAGGTAGGGGATCCGGACTGCTGAAGTTTAGTACACAAACCACAGAAATAATGGTCATGGAACCACAAATTTAAAAGCAGGTGCAAAATGCTCAGTAAAAGTTTGCACTGTCTGTGGTTTGCAGTTGTTGAATCATGTCTACTTAGATTTCATTTGGTTAGGACCTACCACTATGGAGTCCTGAACCATGGTAAGCCCTTCCAAGTATTTTCCTTTTATTAAAAAAAAAAAAAAAAAAAAAAAAAAATTCAAAATGACACTCTCCACTTCCCAAACCTACAAGAAAAGTAATTATTCACTGATTTTCAACTTACCATCAAAAAAAAAAAAAAAGCAATGTTTCCAGTGAACTAGAAAGCAATGGGATTTTGCTTATAAATAAAGGGAACTTTAATGCATTTGTTTCTTCCCCTGTAAAATATGAAGGTCCTGTAGACCAGACTGTCCCTTCACTTGCATCTGTGCATTGTCAAAATATTTTTTTGTGCATAACATCTTTGGTAGTTTATAGGGGAGAATTTGGTGCACTGGTAGAAATTGAATTTCTCTATGGAGTTGCAGATTAGACATGGCATTGTTCCCTTTCAGCATTAATAGATGAGAACAACAATTTAGTGGTTTATTTAGCATATGCATCTCTGAACTAAGAGTAAAGTTTCAGTTAGAAAATGTTTGTTTGTGTCTATTTTAAAGTAGAATGGCCCCTTCTTTAAGGAATATAGCTGTAATATAGCTGTCCAAGTACAGCCTTCACATGTTACATTACATCCAGTTTGGGCCAGACTAAATGACAGGTATAAATCAGTGCTTCTCTGGTGTAGTTAGAACTTTGCTTTCTGTGTAGCTAACAAAGATTCCCTTTAAAAGAAAGCTCAGGGGGTGGAAATAATTTTCTTACCTAAAGTACTATGCCATCTGTTTCTGTTTTGTGTTGCTGGTATCAGTGCATTTTGGAACAGTAAGTGGACCAGTGTAGAGCCTGGTTCTGCCCCCCTCCCTGCCCCCCCCCCCCCCAAGTATTTTAAAAGAAAATGCCAAGAATCTGGGGGGTGGGGCGGAGGGGAGGCACGTATTTTTCTTCTGATAGTTTAAATGTTACCTTTGTGTAGGGTGAAAGTCACAAGAGCCTGCTTTCTCCTTATGAATGGAAAGCAGAGTTAGCCCCTCCTGAGATGCTTTACGGAAGATGAAGCACAGCTGGGCATAAGAACTCCATGCTGCCTGACATTTAATGCTGTACTGCAGCTCAGCTGCTTTTAGACATACCTGAGTTGTTCATCATGCTGTGAAAATACACCATGCTGTTGTGTATACTGAGAGTTCTGAAGTTCTTAATACACAGTGGTGTTTTGAAATTCAAAGGCTTCTTAAAACTCAGAGGTTTGACTTTGTGATAAGCTGATATTGAAGGATGGGCTCTTCAAAATTAAAAAAAAAAAAAATCAAGGAAAATAATAAAACCAGTTATTTTTTACCCATGTCATAAGCAGTTTTTTTGTTGCTTTTTTTCTTTCCCATTCCGTAGCATCTCCTGGGTCTGTAGCAGCAGGTAGCCTAACAAGCTACCTCTAAAGCTGTACTCAAATCAATTGCTGATGCTAGTGTACAAACAAAGATGGACTGTTTTGGTAAGACAAGGCTCCATTGAAGTTACTGCTAATAAGCAAACCAGCTCTGTTCACTTTAGTCCCATTCAAAACACAGGAAAAGGATCAATCTTTGCCAAATTTGAAAGGCTGAAACTATTACAGAGGATAAAATTTTTTTACTTCAGGTGGGTGTAAAACATACTTTCAAAATAAACTCTGAAACCACACTTGACTCTTACCACATATATTAATCATATTCTTTGTGGGCATGAAATACAGAAAATGTTCAGCTTTGTGTTCCTTCGTTTTACAAATGCAGGTTTGTTCTAACTAGGATTTAATATCAGCAGTGCTTCTTAAGTAGTAGCTTAGATGCCAGATATAATGTGTGTTCTTACTGTGAAGTGGTACTCTGTAGCTTAATTTACTTTCAGCAAAAGGGCTTGCTTCTTTTAGTATTTCCCTCATGCTGAAAACCCCCCAAATCCTGAAGTAGTCATGGATGGGATTAATTTGACTATTTGGTTTTAAATTGTTGTATCTACACTTCTTTAAAAGGAAGCTTGTACTAATCCTTGCAGTAGTGCAATATCTTTTTATGTTTCTGTAGTAAATTGTTTTCCTAGTTTAACATGTTTGAGTGCTCTAGTGCTGAATTTATCATCTGCTTTTTAAGCACAGTTCCATGATGTACTGGGTGATTCTTCTGAGAAGAGTTACTCTAGTGATGTCCTGTGCTTGAGTTCAATTTCCACATGCTGCTACAGGTGAATTAGTGTCCTATTGGTATAAAATGTGGACATTTCCCAGCATGTAGTTTGTGGGATTTTATTTTTTTTCTATTACCTTTGAGTACATACTCCTCCTGTACTTACACTGGTCCATGTAAAAGCCAAACTGTTTGAGCCTGGGCTTGTTTGTATGTGATAGAGTTCTTCTCACCTTTTAGAGCTGGAAATTAAACTCAGGGCAGATCCCTCCTAAGAGTAGGTACACTGCTGGGGGAGCTTCTCTGTACTGCACCCTGGCCTGAGGCTGCTTGGAGCACCACAGCAGCGACTGCTTGCTGAGATGTTTGCTGCCATGCTCTGGTCTGGGATGGGCTGCCACCATCCTTGCCCTGCTTTTTTTTTTTTTTCTCTAGCATATGCCTAACCTCTTTGCCCTGCTTAGGTTTAGCTACGTTGCTGAGAGAACAAAGGTAGAGGAGTAGGAATTATTTTTTAAAGTCAGTACAAATCTTGAGTTTCATACAATTTTGTTATGACACTTCTAATCCTTTGGCTCCTGACTAAATTATCATTCAGTTAGAGCCCACATGGTTCTACTGCTGAGGCAGAAATTGCAGGGTTGTGTTGTGTTGTGTTGGGTTTGGTGTTTTTTTTTGGTTTTTTGGGTTTTTTTTTTATCCCCCCTCCTTAGCTGAAATACTGCATTAGTGAAGTCTCTAATATGTCTTCTGACACCACTAATGTAGTAGTTTGGTACTACTGATTGGCATCTGATGTGTTCCTGTCATTTTTAGTGTATTGCCTCGCAGATTCTTATAATAGAGCATGCTAAAAAATATGCAGTCTAGGGAAATCAAACTTGCCAACCCTGAAACAATGATTCCTAAAAAGAGATGCTGGTTGCACTGTTAAACCCCTTTTTCTCTTCATGGAGATATTCAGGAAGGAAGTAATTGGGCTGGTGGTCAGCTCTACTTGTACAGTCAACACTCATTCATTCAGGATTACTTGAGGCAGACACAAAACACGCTCAAGCTGGGTCCTTTGCAGACTCAAGATCCAGCAGGGTTTATTAACTTGGGCTCCGTGCCAAACAAATGCAACTCTGCTGCTCCCAGACCAAGCAGGATCTGCTGTTTTGGCACGGAGTCCGCGCTGTTAAAGCCTGCCAAGCGTGAAGGGTGCAGACCTGGGTCCAGCGCTGTTCTCAGATCCAGGAGCTTTGGAAAGGCATTGCGCATATCTGACCATATGGATCAGCTTGGGACCATCAGGGTTCATTAGATCATCAGCAGTTTCAGCCACGTTAACCCTGAGCTTGCTTCTATGCTTGTTTTTGGTTTGGTTGTCTTTTTAGTTTTTGGGGGTTTTTTTGTTTTTTTATTTTTTGTTTGGTTTTTTTTTGTTTGTTTTTGTTTGTTTGTTTTTGGTTTGTTTTTGTTTTGTTTTGGGGGGGGGATTATTTTTAAATTCTAACTCTGAGTGCTGAGAAAAATCTATTAGCTTGGTCAGCCCCAGGCTCAGCTAACACTTTCCGTGCATGCAGTGTGGCGTGTAAGGGAGCTTGTGGGAAGCAGACTGCAGAGGCACTGAGCTTGCTGAGCAGGACCCAGCTGAGGGCTAGCACAGAGTCAGGGCTGCTAGACTCTGATGATCCTAAATTGCCTTTAATTTCTCTGTGTTGTGATTCCCAGCACGTTTTGCAGTGAAACAGCATACAAATGTTTCCATTGCCTGCTTTGCTGCAGCCTGTATGAGCCGTGATAGCGGAGGCTGACCACTACAGCCAAAGCATGGAGCGAGTGCTGGATGAGTGCTGCTGGGTAGGACTCGTATTTTGCTTTCACAGAGTACATAGCCATGGTACATACACTGAGACTATATATTTAATAACTTCAGTTGACATAAGGGTTATTATCTTTTCTGTTTGGATTTGAAAATACTCTGGAAAAACTGCAGTGCTTTTGAACTAAGTCAAAATAATTTTAAGAAAATATGCTTCGTAGTCTGTGGACTGTTACAGTACTTGAAGTAATTTTCCTCACAGAATTCACAAATGCTTACTTAACTTTTCCAAGCAAAAGGTCACACAGCTCTTCTGGGTTTTTTCATATGCAGGTGCAGCTGGGACAAGCAGATATAAAATGCCCGATCACAGAGTGCAGCGAACACCTGGATGAAACAACTGTCCTCTATAACCTGCCCCATGACGACATCATCAAGTATAAATATTTCCTGGAACTCAGCCGCATTGACTCCAGCACCAAGCCATGCCCTCAGTGCAAGCACTTTACAACCTTCCGGAGGAGAGGCCACATTCCTACCCCTGCCAAATTGGAGAACAAATACAAAGTGAGCACGCTTGCCAGGACTGTGGGTTAGATGGCACCACAAAAGTAGGACAACGTTTGGTGGGCATTAAATGAGCTTTCTTGCATCACTGGGGCTGTATGCAAGCCGTTATTAGGAATATGAATCTGTAGCACAGCACTGATTAACTACTTAATTGTTTTCTAACAATTCAAACAGTTGAACTTCAGCTCTTATTTCTTTGGCAGGTGGCATAATTTTGTCCTGACATGTTTTAATTTAGAGAGTGTTTTCTCTGACATGCAAACAATATGGTCATGATCAGAGAAGACTGGGGAAGGGCAGTTATCACTGTAACTGATCAGTTTAGACACACAATGGTAGCAAAGATAAGTTTTCCCAGAAACTCTGGGCAAATGAATTCTGGGCATTTATAGTGTTAATCTGCTGGTTTGCTGCTTCCTTAGAAATAGAGCTGTTGTCTGTCCTATTTGGTTTTGATTTCTTCAGTCCCTTACTAGAGGTTATACATTGTTGTAGTCTCATCACTCACAATACAGAAAACTTTAGAAATAGGAAAAAAAAACCACTTTTACTGAATTTCTTTTAGTAGAAAATTTGCTTATGCTGTGATTTCAATCAAAAAGAAAAAGTGAGAGATTACAGTTAGAAGACTATGAGTTGCTGAAGGTCCATCTCAGTTCCAGAAGATGACAGTTCTGTCTGCAGCATCATGCTCTGTGTTAGTTTTCCATCTGGTTATTAGTTTTGTTGTGGTTTATTTCATGATTCAGCTGGCCTTTCCTGGACAAACCAGTTCTCAGTAGGAGTTTAGATGGCTGTTTAGATAGCCCTAATTACACAGCATAACATTCAGCCCGGTGTGGAGATTAAAAGGTAGAAGGTTTTGTATCCAGTGGAGTTGAAACCTTCGTAAAGCTAACTCCAAGTTATGAGCTACTTCTGTCTATCTGTGCAATGCATCAATTATATGCCACACTGTCTGTTGAACTCCACTTTTTCAGATTTTTGGCATCTTAAGCAGAGGTGGAGAAATTAAAAACTGCAGGTAAAATTCCTTCCGCCCACAGCCATTCTCTTTCACCCATCTGCTTACCATTCCCTCAGATGTAGACAGGCTGTAGTCAGGGGTAAATCAGAGGTGAGAATGTTTCTGCAGCAATCTCTTAAGGTGCCAGAAGCTGTTACTGTCCCACCAATGTGGGTCACAGGTGGTTCAGCTGTTGTATCATTGGCTTGCCAACTCTGAGAATGTTTCTCAAGGTGCAAAGTGGGTTGTTCTGCCCACCAGTGCTCTTTTATGAGTTAAAACACTATTGTTAAAATGTTCCCACCCCTTCCCTACAAAGCATAATCAGAAGGAATGGGAGGCTGTGTGATACATGAAACAGGGCAAGCCAGAAGCAGTTTCCTGGTCGGGTGGTGCTGCATTATGTTGTAGCTGATCCGCAAAGCTTAAGTCTCCTCCTGGGGACAGACTCTGGCAAAATGTGTCCTTTCAGCAGTGCCCAGGTGTTGCCTGGAAGAAGGTCTCATTGGTGCTGGTTAAAAATATAATGAGGAAGGTGCTAGCAAACAGTATGGATGATCATAGGCCAGGGCTTCAGCCCGCTCCCTGAACCTGTGTTTTTTGCTGACATAGGTACAGTTTTAGTGACTTACTTTAAGCTTAGCACAAGGAAGAGTTTTGCTGCAGGGTTAAGGTTTAAAAAGAAGACTATGTGTGAGATTGCGTATATGTGACTAATTTTATAAACACGTAGCTGTGAACCATTATTACCTTGGTTTTCTTAGATTCTCATGTGACTGCTTGTATGTATCTTGCCTGTGCCTTCAATTATAGGCTTTTTGGAGGTAAAGGCTCATTTTCTTCTGCATATAGCATAAGAGACATCTGACTGGAGACTAGGAGACTCACATATTCACATGCAAGCAATATAAACAGCAGTTGCACCAGATGAATTCTGCACCAGCACTGGAAGTGCTGCCTTCAGAAGAACTGAGTCATGTGTGGGAAACGTCTACGCACAAGCCTACTCGTAGGATCACTGCACACAAGGGCTCAGCGCCAGTACCCTCACTCTCCTGTGCACTGCAACAGGAAAACACTGTAAAATCCAAGAGTACATCTGAACAGATACTTTAAAAAAAAATGGCATTCCTAAAATTTGATGCACTGTTTAAAAGTATAAATAGCATCTAAAATTAAAGAAGTAGCGAAGTTATTAATTTTCCTTATTGTAGCTGTTTTTTGTCAGCTAAACCGAGCAAAGCCCAGCAGTTCAGTTTGCTGCTGCTGTTTTTCATTTTTGAGATCAGTCTTGGTCTGCTAAGCCTACAAAGTTAGCTGGTACATGCATGTTGAGAGAGAAGAAGGGGAAGAGAAGGGAAACTTGCTATCCAAACCTTTCTTTTCCCATTAATGCAACTTAGGACTGCACAGTACAGCAGCATGACTATATAGTTTCCTATATTAAGTATTTGTATCACCAATGGATACAGCTTTAAGGAAATAACCCTGGCCCTTCTCCTGTGACCTAAATTGGGAATGTAAGACTTGATTATAGAAGAGATCCTAATAAACCTTTGGTGAAAGCTGGTATGCTAAACTGCAAAGGAAATGGGCAAAAATTGAAAAATTAGTAATTCAGTTCCAGTGCATGGAACAGATAGAGGTTTCACAGAAGTATGTTGGCTTGTTCTGTGAGGGGTTTGGGGGTTTTGACGGGGGATTTTTATCTCCTAAACCCTGGATCTCACCTGTTGTTTAATGTTAGTTCTTTGACCTGCCACCTGCAATGAAGAAGCAATTCTTGATTCTTGGACTATTTCTGCCTTATCAACCTGTGATGTTCATAATGAAGTTTTCTTGTTTGCTTCTGTCAAGACATACACATCACATAAAAGAAGGGCTTGAGTGCTTAGCTTTAGAAATGTAAATGTTTTTTTCAGTGCAGTTATTATATAAACTATCTTGTTTGAACTACTCGAGAGTTTCTGAAACTCATCGCTCTAGAATTAGTAGGAATCTGTACCTGCAAAGATGCTATGATAGAGAGGACCTGTGTAGTTCATATCAATAAGTCCCCCCCCTCCTTTTGAATCAGATTTTAACCTCGAGTAGTAGTTGTCTTCATGGCTACACATCACTTCAATCTGCCTTGAGCCTGAACTGCTGTGGATGTGGTGTTTCTGTCGTGCTCTCCCTCTTTGCTCTCAGCTGTTCATTCCTGCTAGCTTGCTGTTGCTCGTGTTGATGTTTTGGTGTCACACTGAGAGCTGGATCAAAGATCAGCTCCAATGGGACCCAAGATTTGTTTGTTTTGTTGTTGCTTATTTTCATCTGGTATAAGAAAGGGGATGGGCTGGTGACGGGGAAGAGACAGCTGTTTTGGCAGGCATCCATATTCAATTTTGGAATAAAGTGACTGTATAACTGTAGCTAGAGATTGTAATTCATGTAATCAGTTAGTTGCATGATTAATTTGGCCATCCTATTATATAGCTAGCATTCCACTAAGCAGCAGAAAATCCCATTAAGCTTTTTGCAGCTTCAGGCTCTTAAAATATTTTAATGTGCAGTCAGTTTTGCTATAATCATGTCATATCAGGCAGTGTTTTCTGTTAAGGTTACCTACTAATTTTGAAAGGTCTTTTCCTGGAAGGTGAGAAAAATCATACTTAGAATAGTTTGCAGTAAAGAGGCTAGCTAAGAAAATGGAAAATTTTAGCCTTAAAGGTCAGTGTTTCAGAAAGCTGAGAACCAAAAGGGTTAGTATGAGAAGTTGTGTAATCTTTTCTATTTCAAGGGAGACTGACCTCCAGATGGCATAGAAGTTTGTATATATATCCATCCTCTCAATTTTGATTGACTGAAATGGAAGTCGTAAAATAAATGGAAAAATGTTTTCAAATATGTGTTTCCTCACACAAAACCCACTAGATTCATATTTTAGGGTTGTGGTTTGTTGTTTTGTTTTGTTGTTCTTTTTTCCCAGATACAGTTTCTCTGCTTTGTAGGACTGTAATATATTTTACTGGTTTAATTTATATGTAGATAGAATTTCTGTGTCTTCATTGTGGTGATTTCATGCAATATCGAAGCCTAAAGCAAATCATATTTGACTTTTTTTCTTTCAGAAAAGCAGAGAAAGAATAGAATAAGAATCTGAGAGAGTGCTGTAATTGCCCTGTTGTGTTCCTATTTCTTAAGCATACTGCTTTCACATTGCATCCAAGTTTGAATAGACTTAGGGTTTTGTTTTGCGGTCACTGGTTCCAAGAAAAATAAGGTTCATAAGTACGTAAAAGAACATACTTTGGTGCTTAATTTATATTCATACAGTAATGAACAACATAGAAGTGGCCCATTCAAAATTTAAAAACTATTTCATTTATAATAATGAGTTCAGTTTTGAGGAAGGTGCTGTCAGGGGTGGCAGGTAGAATAGGAAACTAGGAACTCCGAACCTGGTAATGAAGCAGACAGTTCCCACTAGTTTACTTCAGTTAGTCAGGGCTATTCATAGTAACAAATGTTATTCTGAGTTCATGCGGTTATAGCCTCATCCTGTATTTTAGTACTTTCGAAGTAATGTATTTGGAAACATTTGATGTCAGTGTGTGTGTGTGTGTGTGTAAGATTAAATATATATCTTGGTGGCTGCTATATTTCTTTCTCTTGTAAACAGGCTATAATAGAATGATAGATCCTGTAAAGAGTTTGTGTAAGATTTAAAAAAAAAAAAAAAAAACAAAAAAAAAAACACAAAACTTTAATGTTTTAAATTATGTTGGCATTTTTGTTTAAGAAAGAAGCATTAACTTGCAGCTTCCTAGATCTGTTGGTTTGGGTTTGTATTTTTTAATGTTCATGTTCTGTCTCAGATAATTGTGGCTACAAGCTCCATCTTTGGCTGAGGCATAACAGATACTTAGTACAGTGCGATGCTTGCTCTAATCTGTCTTCCCAGTGGTAGGTCACTATGACATGTGTTATTGAAAAACGTAAATGCAAAGCTCGGGGAAGTTGGGGAGGTTGGGGAAGATACGGAGATATTGGGCAGGATAGTTGCTATTAAACTAACCTATTTTTATATGTTGCTTTCTAAAGTACTGTGGAAACATAGATCAGTGCTCTGTGTTAATTTATTTAGTAACAATAAATATGCTATTCTTTTGGTTCCGCAGAGTGCGAATTTTCCTCTTTCCTGTTAAAATGTTTTTATTAGGAGAATTTATCTGGGAAGCGGGGATGCAGGATAGTGTATTTCCTTTGGTTTAGCATCTGGGCAAGTAGACCAACAAATCAAAAAAAAGGCACTAGTTATATTTTGTATTGCTTTTGTTAGATACTTTATCTTGGCCTTAGTCATTACTGTGTTTTCCTGTAAAAAGTAATAATGTTTGTAATCCACATGTTGCATCTTTAATGTGTTGTTCCCCTAAAAACAGGTTTCATTTGCTGTTCTTTCCTGATTTTGTGTTGCCTACCTATGTCTGCACTAACTAACTTATTTCATTGACAGGAAGTGTGTGATAAGTGCAGTTTTCTTCTGTGAGGTATCTTACTATGCGCCTTAGCAAAAATGTCACTTTGGAGCTATAGAAATCAGTAAGTCATACTTGTGCCAGGTACAGGATATCAGAATGTCATCCATTGTAGTATTACACTCTGAATCTGCTTGATATGAAGGAAATGTATGTATTCTAACACTTAAATGCACATGTTGTTTTGTTTTTTTTTTTACAAGGATAGTGACTAGTAGATGGTAGTTGCCTAAAATGTTAATGTGTTATACTAAGAAAATCTGTCAAATTAATGTGTTGTAATAAGAAAATCTGTCAGTTCCTTGATGCTGTTTTCCTTCTTTGCGCTTTAGCCATATGCCCAGGCAAAGGATCCTGGAGGGGGAAATGCTGTCTTATGGGTAGTAAGAAAATTATTAATTCCCTTGAACATTAACTCCCATTCTTACACTTGCTGATCTGTAGATGTGGATTAGCATAAAGAGGTAAGAGGAAGTGATGTATTGAGCAGCACATCATATAGTCCACTATTGAAAGTAAAACCCTTGGTTAAACATTGCTGCACAGACAGAGGTACATCACTTCATACGAATGAAGCTATGACACTGCTGCAGTGCAACATCAAAAAAAGATTGCTCTGTACAGGTGAAGTTAAAAGCAACCACTGAGAATGGGTCAGCTAGGATCATAAAAATGCTCAGCTTGAGCCATTGTGTCAATTAAGGCTTTTAATGTGAAATGTTAAAGGCAAAAAACTAAATGCTATCTCTGTGTATAGAACTTGGAGAATAGCATTAAGGATAGCAGATGGCTTCATTTCTCAGTTATGTGTTAAAGATCAGATCAGCTTTGTATTAGCATGCTGGTAGTGACAGATGTAGAAATTGCACATATAAATAGTAAATTTGGCTGCCCCCCAGTAAAATACTTAAGGTTGACCAGAGCACCTACTTTGAACTCTTTACTGGAGCTGAGGCAGCACCCCACCAGTTGGAGTGTCTGAGCAGAAGGCACAGCAACTGGTGGGAGTGAGGACTTTGGGGTGGCTTCACGTGTGACTCCTGAGCAGCACCCCCACACGTCTGTGGTTTGATGGTGAACCAGGTCCGGACACAGATACAACCAAAAAGCCTTTTTTGTCTGGTTGAATTCCTCAGTCCTGTCCGTCAGCTGTTAGAAATCAAGGGCAGTGCCAGGCATGGCAGCAACTGGAGCTGGTGGACAGGGTTCGGCAGTCACTTGAGATGTGCCTCCCCATCTTTGAGGCTGAGACATCCTCCTGTCAAACACAGCAGAAGTGAAGATGTGCCTGTATCTAATGTGGCTTCTAGTTCTTGCTTTCCTTAATCACAATCCAGGCAGGAGGCCTGTCTTTCATCAGATAAGCACCATCAATTGGCCTCTATGTATTGCTTCTACAAACACAGCAGCTGCCATAGCTTGTGGCAAAAAAATAGCCAGGCTCTGGAAGATGTGATGACAATGGTGCCTGTTTGACACAATGATTTAAAACCCAGGGAGTGGGAAGAATAGACCCTTCCTCGATTTGAGGAGCTTGGCTTGTGGTGTTTGCCATTAGGTGTGGTCTGTAGCAAGTAGGCTGTTTGGCACAGCCTTAGCTCACCCTTATGCAATTAAGAGCAAATGGAGGTACCTGACTTCCAGGATGTAGTTGTGGCCCTTGGTTGAGACCCTTGCCCTTGGTGCCTTTTCTCAGGGCCATTTCTAATATAAGCTTCATAACCCAGTCTGATCTCTGTAGAGCCCATTCAGAAGATGAAGTACTCCCTGGTAATAGCCTTGACAGTGAAGGTTATAATTGGAAGACTGACATTCACAGTACTGAAAATTGCCTGCTAATTTTTAGGTGATCTCACACATGTATTGGAGGCAACTGAATAAGCTTCCTGGATTTTGCCTTCTGGCATTTGAGCCACACGGTGATTTTGGGAAGCAGTTCCAATGCTTAAACCAAGTTACTTAGGCTTTGTTTGATTGGGACCTTTCCTGGCTCTAGGAATTAATTCTGTATTTTCTCTCTTGCAAAAAGAAAAAGAACAAGTTAGCTTCCACAACTTATATTTTTAAAACAGCCCCTTCAAAAGGTGTTAGACCTTTGTTGGGCAGCTACCATCTTAATTGAAGAGCAGTGGTTTTAAAACAGTCTTTCCAGTTGGGTCAGCACCCAGCTTGCAAATGTGTGGTGTTTTCTCATTTGTACAGATCCAGTGTCCATCTTGCCAATTTGTCTGGTGTTTCAAGTGCCATTCTCCCTGGCATGAAGGCGTTAACTGCAAAGAATACAAGAAGGGAGACAAGCTGTTGCGTCACTGGGCCAACGAAATCGAACACGGGCAGAGGAATGCCCAGAAGTGTCCAAAATGCAAGGTGAGCTGTTCTCCCTTGACTTGTAGGTAGTGGCTTCATTTAAATATGTATTTGAAGTAAATATTTGCAGCTTCTGTTCAGCATTGGAAATGGTATTTACTCTTGCTGCGCAGATTCTTGTCAATGACCCACTGAGAAAAGCAGGTCATATGTTTTACTTGGTGGTTCCCGCATTGATTCTGCAGAATCTCTGCATGTGAAAGAAACATTATGGAAATCGTAAGAGGGGACTTTGACATATGCTTATAATGAATGTGTGTTACAGAATAAATTATTCTGAAAATAAATCTTTAAAGAAACTTGTAGCTTTAGAGAAATATGATGCCCTTTGTCAGGTTTTTCAAAGAGCTTGGGTGAATTCAATTCAGTTTGTAAAGTAGAAAGTACTTTATCAACAAGTTAACTAAGGGAGACTTTAAGATTTGGCAAAACTGGAAGTGTTTTTAGGACTAAATGTCAGTTCTTCACAAGCCTTTCTCATGAATTAATTAAATTTTCAACACCAAAGTGCAGTCCCATGCTCTGAAAGTGTTGTTAATCTCTTCCAGGATAGGAAATATTTCCCACTACTGAAATGAGATACAACAGCCCTGGCACACCTCTGCCCTGGCTGTTCTTAATGAAGGTGGCCATTATGTTTGTTCACTATTTTTTTCACAGCACTTATCTCCACCTACTGACAGAGTAGTAACTCAAAACCTTGAGAGCACCATGGTGGTGGGAGACTGTCCTTTTTTTTGAAAGTGAGTACCTAATCTGAACCCATCTATTGCTCTACATCTACTTCATGCAGCGGACAAAGTAAGGAAATGGGAACATTTGGTAGGAGATAAATATTGACTGGGAAGATGTACTTCTGAATTGTCCGAAGTATACTTTTGCCACATTTTGAGCCTTACACTGTGTGAATAAGAGAATGTTTATCAGTTTAAGTATCTTATTTTGGTCTTGGAAATAAATGCCTGTGATGCCATAGCTTGAAACTGAAAGATTTCAAAACACTAAGAAAAATTCGAAAGCTCTGAAATCAGCAGTTGGTTGTTTACCCTTCCTCCCACACACACATGACATTTTAACAGAGTTTTAACAGCTTGCTGTTTGGTAAGAATTTTTAGGTTTGAGCCAGTTCTAAAAATGTTCACTTTCTTGGGAAGTCTTACAGTAAAATCCTTTTATGAACTTCATTTGTTTTGGAGTGGGAAGTATGTGTTTTGTTTTTAATTCTTTGACTTGTGTCCAGATTCAGATTTTATGACAATGCGAGTGACGTAACTATTGAAATAAGTTGTCCAAAAAAAGAATTAAAAATGCACCAAGCAAAAAAATATGAATGTGGAAAAGCAGGGGTAAGAGAGCTGCTAGCTGGAAAGAGAAAGGAACTAAAACTGCTAACCCTAACATGTTTGTTCTTAGATTGTACATTTGGTGTTTTAAATTTAAAACTGTTTTCACTATCTTCAAAATAAAAGGCTGGACACTTGAAACTTATGCAGGTTAAGTCACTAATTTTGAATGCTAAAGTTGCATGAGTTTGGCTATTAATTTCAAAAATACTTCAGGTTTCTTAATCAAAAGAAGGTAAAACCTCCTGCATGTTGGGAGGCTGTATGGAAAGTTATGAAACTAGCTCAAAAAAAACCCCTTTGTTAACAAGTCCTTTCTGGTAATGTGGTATTATAAGTGAATATTGAAGAGGGAGTTCAGTCTTTTCATGAACTGTATTTCTAGCCCCACTCCTGACATTTTTTTTCTTCAGAAGTGAAAAAAATTCTTCTTGTTTACAGTCTCCAAATTGTTTATATCAACTGTTTGTTTTTAAATCAAATCTATAACTAGCAAGTAATCAAAAGAACCAGTGGTTAGCGATACTGTTCTTTTTCTTTTTTTTAAGTGGTCATTGAGTAATTGTGAAAAATATATCTTATGCAGCATTATGCAGCATTCTTCATCAATGCATTAATAGATGTCTGGGCATGTGGGGATAAACATAACAGTTAACAGTTTGAGTTAGGGGATTGGAACTAATACCTTTTCTACTTCTCTCTCCAGCCATCCCTCCAAAATCTCTCTATAAAACAACATTGAGTCATCTGATTATTATATTTCCAAATAAAATAGAGAAAAGAATCATAGAGGAAACAGAGTTGGTGACATACTGTTTGATTTATTCTTGTTCTAGATCCACATAGGCAATGTTTCAGGTGGCAACATATTTTGATATGTACATATATTCTGCTTGAAGAACCTCTTTCATGTTTTGGTTAAAAGTTTTCAGCAGCCAAAATTGACAAACAAATTGAGGAAAAGTCAAGATTAAATTGTAAGTGCCAAGATATTAATATTCACCCTTTATGCAAAAACTGAAGCTGATGGAAAGTAAAGCTAAAAACTTCAGTAGAAGTAGAATTTCTTTACTGAGAACTTGTAAAATTACTGGTAACTTCCAAAGTGTGATACTGATTACAGTGTAAACTGTGACCATATTTTACAGATATTTTTCTGGGTTTAATTATATATACACACACAGACACGTATACCCACAGACTCTTTCTTTAAGTAGCTGTACCACAGAGAAGTAGAAGGCACAGTTATTATCTTGTCTGGGCATGAAGGTGAGAAAATGGAAACACTCTTACGGTGTGTGTATATATAGGCAGATCCTTAGGCAAGTATTTACAAGTTTTTCAGTGGTTTTGGTAAGTGCTTTGAAAGAACATAATCCTTTGTAATGTGAATACTAATGGGCACTGTTAAATAAGCTTCAACTTGATTACTTTTTCCGGTAGGTGAACACAGCTTTAGTGCATCTAATAGGAATAGCTTATATTTACCTGGTCTCTCTAAGATACGCTTACATAAGCAAATAAAAATGTGACATGCTGTCAACATATATAATTGTAGATTCATTTTGTGATTATATGTCAGTATGGAAATACTACGGAATGCTACTTTTAAAAACTGTATCTTAATTTTTACGTATTTATTGTTTTTTTAATAGAGCCTTTTCCAAATGTATTATATACTATTTTGACAAACTCAGCGTAGACCATTTTTCTCAGCAAGACTTGTCCTAAAAGTTCTGGTCTTGTTCTATAGGGAGCTGGAGTGCAATTTTGCTACATATTAGATGCATTTTCATAACATCACTAACCTTATTTGTCTTTCTGTGCTAATGTGTTAGGGTTTTATTTTTTTACAATTTCTTGCAACAACATATTTGCAGCAAAATGCCTTTTTCCACAAGTGTTTTTACAGTACAGCAAACCAAGTACTTCATGTTGGTGTTATCTTACCACAGATTTCAAAAACAACACTGTCTGAGGAAACACCAAACAGTGGCTCTAGCTTAGAAAGCTTCAAACGGTAGCAGAAATTTAAGTAAACAAGGATGTTGATGCAAATCAAGGAATACGTACTTTTTATCTGTTCTGATTAATATGAGCATTACCAAATAACTTGGGGCATAGTTTTTGAAGGTGCTGTGCAAATTATTTCTCATACTCTGGAGGGAGGAGAGTCCTTGCTTGTTATAGGAAGGAATAAAGCTGTATACCAGGTTTTCTTCAGAAGGAGTGAAGGAGGAATGGCCACTCATTCTCAGATCTCTTGGATGAGATTTCCCTGGAAGATTTCTGTGAGAGGGCATGTAACATGCAGAGGGGGTGAAGTGATGGTCTGAAATAGCCGCTGTGCTACTTCAGAGTCAACTGAGCTTTGCTGTTGGTGTGTAATTTTCACCCCTCTTGTTCTGGGAGCCATTCTTGGATTTCTGAATGACTAAGCCTTTCCTCGTAAGGTGAAGGTACGTCTTCAGGTTTGAGCAGGCTCTGGATGCAGGGTGAAGCCAGTAACACTGGCTGAATGCTTGGAGGCAGAAACTGGGCTTGCAGTCGTTGTGCCTTGCCTCCTCCACCCTCACCGTGCTGCCCAGCCCCGCACGCCCAGCGATCTCCAGGAAGGCTCATTCCCTGCCCCGGGCATTCCCTGGGCACTGCCAACGGAGCAGGAGCACTCGTGTGAGATCTAACCCATCAGCGGTCGCTTTCCCAACCTGTAGCCTTGCAATCCGTCTCTGTCGGTGGATTATCCCGAGGGGAGGGAGGCGTGCTCATGCGAGCCAGAGCTGAAGTTGACCTGGCGAGAGGTCATGTCTTAGGCTTGAAAGCGTCCTGACCGAATCATGCAGAGTTCATCTGGCATTGTCAGTCTGCGTGCATATGATAAGGAGTACAGGCCCTGCATCTAAGGTGGTTGGGGGTTTTAATTTCATTTTTTGAATGAAGTCTTAATAAAAACGCTTTTTGCAACAAAAAATATAGGCAAGTACAAACAGTTGGTCCAAATTTGCAGCTTGTGAAGACAGTTATATATGTGCAGATAAGTATTCACTAAAAGTTTTTTAATGTTTTCCTTTTGAAGAAGCAAAGATGTAATTGCAGTATGTGTCCATAAGAAAATAAATCCTGTATCAGCTTCTTTGTTTGAAGAGGACCAGTATGTCTGGAGGATTTAGAGCAGAAGCAAGTAGATTCAGAAGTGATTTAGAAGTGGTGCCTGGCTAACTGGAACCGGGATGCTACTAGGAAAGTGTGGGTAGAAGGATGGTAGGTAGTATCAAAGAGGTGGGTATTTCTGAAAGGTATTGATGGTAAAATGTATGAAGCTATTGCCAGCAGCTCCTTGAAGATAGATTGGATTGAGTTGGAGAAGAGAAAGAATTCAGTGGTCTTGATTCAAAAAGAAAAGAAAACAACCAGTTAATTCTCATTAGTGTCCTAAGATCTAATTCCCTCACATTTTTAAGATGGACATATGTCACTGAATCAGGAGATAAGAAAATGCACCTCTAAAATTTTGTAATTTTGTATAGTTGCTGTCTGAGTTTGTCTGCTGAAAAACTAATTGGAATTTAAAATTTAATGTGTTAAAATAGATTAAGTCACTATTAAAATTCCTTCATTTCAGTTTAACTTAATCTCTTAGGAATTAAATTAAATAAACTATGGCTCCATGAGTATGGTCAACTTTTTTTCATATAAAACTTGAAAAGTAAAAGCAAAAGTCAAGTTGGCAATATCCCTTTTAGAAGAAAATAGTGTATAACTTCAGAAGCTATGTTTAAATTGGTAAAATGTTGGGTAGACTTTTCTTTCCTCTTTGCTTGCAGACTGTGCTTAAATGTGAAAGCTTTGAAGTCAAGTGGCTTACAAAGCTTGTCAGCAGTGGTGTTTTGTTGGGTGCTTCTGGAAAACAGGGCACCTGTGGTACAGCAGGCTTCTTCAGGGTAGAGGGGGATGGTTGTTTGAGTCTATTTGCATCCCTTCATGCAATGAATGCAAGTTCACTAGAATATTTGCCCACTAGAAAGTAATGCTTTATAGCCCAGCCCTCTCTTGTGAATGCCTCTCCCCTCTTATGTGTAGAAGAAACATTTGAAAGTGTAGAAATACAGATTTTGAGATCACTACTGTTGATCAGATACCCCAGGAGTCTCAAGCCTCTTGAGGCAAGAGGCTTCAGTTTTGTACCCGAGCTTTCAGTGTCTCTGGTGCTTGCAGGGTCACTGAGTGGTGATGCCTTGTCTTTACCTGTATCTCCCTGAAAAATAAATGCATGTAGAAGTGGATAAGAATTTCATGAGGCATTCATTCATCTGCCGCAAGTTCCAACAAATAAAATTCCAATTGGATGTAAGGGAAGAAAATATTCCCAGGGCGAGTGGTGAAGCACGGGACAGGTTGCTCAAACTGTGACATACCCATACTTGGAAATTTTTAACATCTAGTGGGATGAGACCTGGAGCAATCTGATCGGACTTTGAAGTTAGCCCAGCTTGGAGCTAGGGGTTAAAATAGATGACCTCTAAAGGTCACTTCCACCCTCAATTATTAGGTAATTTTATCTGCCATTCCACTGTAGAGCATAGTCTTGGGACAGGGTGGGCTTAGCAGTTTTTTCAGCTAGGAAGAGTGTGTGTTTACCATCCTGTTAGCTATACTTTAATTGGCAAGATTTAGAAGTAGTTATAGAATCATAGTTGATCTAGTGAAGTACTCAGCCCGAGGACTACCCTTTCTCCTAAGACTCTCAGAACTGCTAACTAAAACTGAAACCTTACCAAATCTGTGCAAAGTAGGTAAATGTACCAGTTTTGCAGAAGAATAGATGGAGATAAAGGAATGGAGCTTTTTAGGTAGTCAATCAGCAGAAAGATGGATGTAGAACTTAGGCAGCCTAGCTTCATACTGTACTATGGGCATTATGAAAGCTTGGCATAAGTCTTTTATACAGTTTGTGGAATCTTTTTTTTTTACGAAAAAAAAAAATCCTATACTTTTCAAATCATTCACTCTAAAGGCAGAGCTTTTCTGGTGTTTATGACAAAATGCCAAATCAATTTCTGATGGTAATGGGAAAGGGAGAGGGGCCACAGGTGGCATAATAGGGAAACCCATCTGTGGACGGGTCAAACAGAGTTCATAACTATATTTACTCTGCTGCTTTTATTTTTAATAAAATTTGGTGCTAATGTGTCCAGTAACAAAAACAAATTTTCCGTAAGGACAAGGATCACTGAGATTCTCATCTGATACAGAGAATGTTTAAACAAAGAAAGAGGATTATATAGAAAATTACATATGGAAATCTGGAAACAACTATAACTCATATTCGATACTCTGAAACATGCCTTAGGAAACTGTTATTAATGCAAATGCTGAGTTAAACTGGGGTTTGTTTGTGGTATCTTTTCCTCTGACACACGGACTGCACCAGGTAGTGCCTACTGTGCTTAGGGAGGGGGAAAAAAATACTTTTCTTTTTTTCTTCTGCTCATACAGATCCACATCCAGAGAACAGAAGGGTGTGACCACATGACCTGTTCACAGTGTAACACTAATTTCTGTTACCGTTGTGGGGAGAGATACCGCCAGCTCCGGTTCTTCGGAGATCACACATCAAACCTCAGTATCTTTGGATGCAAATACCGTTACCTCCCCGAGAGACCACATTTAAGGAGATTAGTGCGAGGCTCTGTCTGTGGTGAGTGGATAAATGTTCCTTGTGAAGAGATGCACAATGAGGTGATTGGAGGGGGTGTCAATAATAGTTACTTTAAATCGCTGGCTTTTATTTATCAGTTGGGCAGCCTGTTGTTATGTAAAAGGTGGTTTATTAAATATATTTAAATATATACCACTTGCACTACCTTTATCAATAGATTGTGTATGAGTAAGTATGTGTCCTCTTCTGATAGCTTCTGTTTTCTAACCTTTTGTAATAATCAAACTGGAAAAATACTGTCAATATGCATGTTGCTGGCTGTGATCATTAGTCTGAAAGCATATAGAAGTGGATCAGAGCAGGAACCTTTTTCACATAAACCTCTGTGTTGGGGATCCGTTTGAATGAAGCATTGTTTAGATTTGACGCTGGTCTGGGTTTGAAAAACCAACTCACTCAGGTTTGCCCAATTAAATAGGAGGACACTTATCTTTTAGTTGTTAGCTTTGGTTCAGATAAAATCCAGTTTAAACCAAAATACAACTATATACATTATTTTCTCTCACAGGAATATGATGCCACTAGCTTGACTACTTTTATTGGGAAAAAAAAAAAAAAAAAAGGAACTCCAAATTTGCATTTGAACCAGATGTATATTTCTTGTATACCTCTCTCAACCTATAGAAGTTCAAGAAAAGCAGATAACGAAGTAGATTATGTGATTACCTTATGTGGTAACTTACATATACATATGTATCTTACATATGCATATACATTAAATTCAGTGAGTTTACAGCATGTAAAGCTATCTATAACATTATAGGAAATTCTTATTTCTTATAGGTAGCTTGTATTAACTGTTGAAAACTGGGGACCTATTAAGGAAAATAAGACATTTTGTACTTCAAATTAAGTCATAGAAATTGGAGATAACTTGGAATTCACCTAAGATGAAGAAATGCTTTGAGCTTATCCACTGGTGATGCTGAATGTGGAAGTAAGGATACTGAACGTGTGAAAATAAAAGTCAGCAGACCTGCAGTGAAAACAATACTCCTGAGTCAAACATGTTCCAGTAAGAAAACTAGGTGATTTCCATTTGAGAGTAATGCAAGATTTGGCACACAAGCTCATAGGCCTAGTGATAAGAATGCTGATCTTGCTGCTCTGTAAGATTGTGGGAGACTTGCAGACTTGGAATGCTTGTTTAACAAATGACAGTAAGTCATCTAGGCTCTTTAGTCTGACCTCTGGAACTTGAAAGGCTTTAAAACAAACTTGATGAGGGAGGTCAATTAAAGATAGAGACATAAATGGGACAGTGGATGAAGATTCAGCATGATTGAATGTGCCTGCTCTCATACACTTTCTAGAGATAAATTCTAGTGCATGAGAAGATCTGGCACTAGAGAACATAGATGTAAACTTGAATGAATAAATTTAGGCTTAAAATTCAAGAACTGTTTCCGAGCACTTAGTAATGTTTCAGAAGAGCTTTTAGTAAAAGCCACAATGACAAACAATGTAAGCTGTTTGAAAATGGGTCTTGGTACACTTGGTGGAATTAGTATCTGTGATAGCAAAGGACTGTGCTCAGAGACGTTACTAAGTCTGTGCTGCTCACAGGCAGGATCATGGGTAACCTTATTCCAAGATTAAACCTTTTATGTACAATGGAGATAAAACCCACTTATTTTATATTTGTATCACAACATAGATCTATAAAAAAAATAATATTGTCTTAATTCTTGCAGTGGTTTACATATAAGGTATCTAAATATGCAGTTGGCATGTTTTGATGACACATACAAAGTCCAAAATACAGGTGCATGTACTGCATGTGCATAACTACTATTAAAGTTATTTTCTATTTTCCTCATTTTCTATTTTAAGAAAAAATAATACACAACGTTTTCATTTTTAAAAGAAACAGCTTTTACTAGTAAGAAAGAAAATTAGTTTATTTGCAAACAGTGACCCGGAGGCAGTAAAGAAATGTGGAAGACCATATGTGAGTTAAACTTCAGTGGTGAAGATGTATATATTCATATTTATAAAAGCACACATAGAGAAGGCATAAGTTTTACTTTCATATTCCCGTTTGCAAGTGTATTTGTGGTTTGCCTTAATTAGTAAACCGAGAAAGATTATCAAAGCCTAAAGCGTCATCTTCAATTTCTCATAGGATTTTCTGTTAAAATTTTCTCTACAGGACTACCTCTGTCATGTGGTGCTATTTTTCACAGGAATGGTCATCATTTCAACAGAGACAGAGCTAGCTGAACCTCCCAGCACATGTAGAGATTGCCCTTATTTTTACAATGACCTGTAAACACCCAAGCTGAGTGATTCAAAGAATTCTGCATTGACATTCATGACCTTAAATCCCTGTTATCTCTAGAGCTATAAATTAATATTGATCCTGTTATACTTTATGAATAACTACCAAAGCATTCCAGAGCCCTAACAGAACTCACACATGAAAATAAAAAAATGAAAGTTTCAGCAATTTACATCAGAAACAGAACTCAGGAGTTCTGCTCACTACTCTTCCTCTGTTGGATTAGGTTTTGGCTATGATTGGCATATGTGAGCCAGTCTAGATTCTTGTACCTTTTTTTCTACACAAGTGCACGTGTGGGTGTGCACACATTTTTTTAAGAAGGCACTATATTATTATACAATTACACCTCCTGACACTTTTCTTTCGAGATGGTACAATCACCAACTGTGATAGAGTGTCAGTTCTGCTGTCCTGAATGGTGGAAATCTGGTAAAATCAGGTGTCTTGGTAAAACTTCAGCAAAATTGATCTGTGCCTGTTAATTGAGTGGGTGTAAAGGACTGCCTAGTGAGTCTTTCCCCAACAGTGGTCAATTAGAAATAAGATCTTACTTCCTGTCTATTACCACTAATCGCTGTTTTAGACATTTCCTCATTTAAGGCTTGTATCTGAACCTTTGGTTAATAACTATCAATAGATGTATCCTTCACCAATTTAAACAGACCTTAAGGTTTGACTTCCATAACATCTCTGATAGGGGCTGTAGGATTTCACTGTGTGTTGTATGGAGAAAGCACTTCCATTTCTCGTGGCTTTTTATTGATTCCTGATAATTTCATTGGTTACTTCTGTTATCATGAAATTGAGTAAATAGTAATAGCTTGCTTACCTTCCCATATGTTTCTTTTGTAGTCCCTCCATCAGATCCTTACTTGTCATGATTTTTTTCTTTTTTCTGTTTTGTTCTAATCTTAATCATTTAAGATAAAGTTGAAAACCCAGAAATGTTTAATTCCAATTAGGGATCATGCTGAGGCTCAGAGATGACCCAGTAGCTACAACTGTAAATGTAAATATGCTAAGGCTTTATCAGGCCAGAGGAGAGCATTATCTTCAGTAAGTGTTAGGGTACAAGCCTGGGTTTTGGTTCCATTCTGAGAGTCAGCAGACATTAGAAAGAGGAGATGATATCAGAGAGATAGGCCATTAAAATCATAGTCTCTAACTTTTAGTAACATGTAACAAGGAATAAAGGTTGGGTTTCCTGTAGTAACATGCCTCTGCTAATTAGCTAAGTAGTGAAAATTAAGAGAAGATTATCTTGGCTGTCAGTGGGGAGACTGGTGAGGTGTTGCTATATACGTTTTCTTCTGTGACCTTTTTTTAAATTCTTGCTATGGAGAAGAGATACTTATTTAAGTAAATGGGATGATTTTGTAGCCTTGTGTAGGGAAGGTTTTTTGTCTTGTTTCTACCAAATCTGGGTGGGTGAGGTGTATAGAAAGGAAAGAACACTTCATGGCAGGCTGGCATGCTATCATGGTTTCTGTTGAGAAGCAATTGTTTGTGCCTACAGTCACAAACTGCTCTAATAAAAGTAACGGAAATGCGTTTGTGGCAGCATAAACTGAAACATACTTTTTTCATAAACCAATGGTTTTGTAAAGGTAATAGAAATCACAAGGAGAAGGTAACCTGAGAGCAGAAGTGGTCTCTGAATTTGGCATTTCTCTCTTCTTTAGCCAGCATGTTTTTTAGAGAAACCTTTGTCCTGTGACCAGTACAGTAAAGTGAAATTGCTTTTATCATTCAGTCCCAGTGGGCTTAAATTTCATTCTCATAGTAATTATTTGGCTAAGTTGTTGGAGGCAGAATGCTTGGTTATAACTGAAGTTAGTGATGAATTGCACAGAGAGGAAAAGCTTGTTCAGCTGTCTTAAATGTATTTAAGATGCCACTTAAGTACCACCTGAATTCAGTTGGGTGAATTATATTCAAAATCAATTGCTAGGTATTTCATGGATGCATGACAGGATGTGACATGTAATGATGCTTTTAAAGCAAATTTTTTGCATGATAGACAGCATTTCGGTTAGGATTCTGAAATCAGCATGTTTTCACATGTGACTGACATGTACTTGTGTCCTAAGACAGAGTGCAAGATTCACTTTATGTACGCATGGCTTTGAGCACCGCAGAAGGAAGCGTGCATTTCTAGGATCTAACCTTCATTGGCAACTTTATCATTTAAGTGGGTCTGATTTGTAGTAAGTCACCTATACACACTTGATAGGACTCTTTAAAAACAGTTGCAAACTTGTATTAGAACTGAAATCTACATAGGTATGATTGTTTTGATTTGTAAGTAGATACTTTTAGTGGCTCTGTTACATAAATATATAATTATATTTAGACTTGGAAGACAAAACTTTTTATTTTTCATGTGCTAGTGATTAAATTTGTTTCCTAAAACCAGTGTATTTTTTTTTACATGGCAAAGAATTCTCTAAAGAGTTATGGGATTTTGTATACATTATCCTAAAACTGGCAACCAAACCCAAAGTTATGCAAAGGAAAAATATTCCGTCATGTTTCCCTAAACATTTCCTCATTTTGCAGAAAAACATCATTCTCCCTATCACAAATAATGCAACCCCTCTGAGACACTTGCAAATACAGTTATTGCATTACCACAGATGTCTAAATCTTCATGTTGAGTAACCCAGTAGAGAAATCGTTTACCATTAATTTGAGTCAAATCATAAAAAGGTTCCCTTTTGAGGCTTTTTCTCTTTACAGCCATTTCTTTTTATGTTATCTTTATAAACTAACTTTGACCATTACCAAACTGGCTATCAGAACCTACTGCTGAGTTCACCACATAGACTAATGACCTAAGATTTTATTCAGTTCTGAGGCAAGTTTCACATTTATGCTCTCTGCTAGCAGTCTTGGAGCTAACAGACATGGGGCAGTGGATCTTTGGGAAGTTTGGTGCCTGCAATAAATGTCCTTAGTCTCCACAGCATTTCTTGGTGTGTCACGATTCCCTCTGTGATTAAGAGCCTCATAATCCCTCACACTACAACAAACAATGTGTGTCAAACCAGAATTGGATATAAAGTGTTGTTCAATTCAGACATGTAAAATGGAGCCTTTTATAATTGTTTCATAAAATGCTGATAAAAATGCCTGGAGTAAGAGATACATATCTCCTGCTATGCAGTGGTTGTTACTGTATGTACTCTTCCTGATGGTAACTTGTGCAAGTCTTGTTCGCCACATGTTAACTAGTTCCTTAATTTTAGTTTACAGAGGTAAAGAAAGATAAGGGATTTAAATGTAGTAGGCATATAAAGGGAAAAGGTATTTTGTTTTGTTTTTAAAGTTTAACCTTTAGAAAGAATGCACTGAACCAAAGGAAGATTTGTTTCATGACAACGAAAGGTCATTTTATCCTATAAGATCTTGGAACTATGATACTCATAACTTCACACTTGTAGGCAGAAGGAAAAAGACACTCACTCATGCTTTATTTCAGCTCTGAGTCAGCTTGTCTGATATAAGTAAACAAGTTCATAAACTGAATAAGCTTAGTAACTGTTCTTCGTGTCTGCAAAAAAAATTACTCCAGTCAAAATCTAGCTTAGGCCTTTCTGCAGACTCTATTGCTGTGTACTTAGTCACCAGTTCAGTGGTTTAAGTTTTTAGTAATTTTGGTACCAAATGTTATGATTTTCTAACATTCTAATTATGTGGTTATTAGTAAAGGGAGCTCATACCTTAAAACAATCTTTTATAAGCTTTGCTTTGAAATTGTTAAAGGCTATGGTAATGTTTTTAAATGTTTAATTGCTCATTTTTGGAGTTATCTTGAGGTTTTCTATCACTCTACATTTCTTCTGTCTACACTTGAATAATTTATTTGACAACTTCCTTGTTTATAGAATGCAGCACAGTGGAGTCCCAAGAAGTTCTACTATTAGGAAACCTAGCAACTAGAGTAATACCAATATTATTTGCCAATTATTTTCTTCTAGGAATTAATGTTTCCCACCCACAACACTTCTATGAAATTTAAAAGCCATCAAAATGGACCATGAAAAAGGCCAATTCATTTAACTGCTGTAAATATTTTCAAAATATCTTATTTTTCTTTCACATTGCCCAGTTTAGTGGCTCAGGTTATGAAGGGGTTTACATCATTATTGAATGAAGTAATTCATTTACAGAAATCTGATACAAGTGACTTGAGAGAGGGAAGGACAGGGAAGAGAGAGGTGTAACGAACTCACTTTTCCTCCCTTTCTAGAGGTGATCTTTCAAACACATGCTTAACTTAAGAATTGCTTAATTTCAAATCCCTGATCAAACTTCTGGTGTATTGGTAAAAATGCCTGCCCTGCTGTGTTTTCAAACAGCTGAGACAAGTGACATCTGTGATTTAACTTCTCAGCCAACATGACCAGGGAGATTCTGCCATTCAGTTGAAAGCATGCAGTACAAGAAAGATAGCTTGGATTCAAAGATCAGTTTCAACTTAAGTGCTACAGAAAGAACCCTGTCTTCTCTCCATGCATTTCTACAGATCATGAACTCAACAGAAATAAAGAATATAAGCATGTTTTATTTGTTCTTAGTCTTATGTTCCAGCTGATGTGCTGTATAACCTTGCCGCCTTACTCATGTAAGAGCCACAACACATCCTTTCAAATTTTGATCCAAAATAGACTTGGCTATGGTTTGATTTAGACCTAAATCACAGCTGTGTGTGAGGACTTCACTGTGGACTTTTAAAGCGAGCAGAAACATATTTAGAGGTGATGGTCTCATCGCCTTGAGCTAACATACTCTTGGAGATGCTGGTTTTCTTGGCATCTTTCCAGGGTGGTTGCTGTACAGTAGGATTCTGGAGAGGCCATATGATAGTAGCTTTATAGCTATTGCATTCCTGTTGATGCCTGAGGGATTTCAGAATGGAAACAGAAGTAAATGCAAGCTGACTGTTAACGTACAAAATGAGCTGTGCTCATTTGCTGTGGTGGGTGAAGAGGGCAAAGAGAAATGTGTGCAGGGATCTAGCTGAGTGGTGATAGCTCCTAGCTGGTTTTGTAGGATGAATTTACAAATAGGAATCCTAGTAAAGTATTAAAAAAATGAACCAGCATTTGGGAGCCCTATATTGAAATATTTATGGATGGTTGGAAAGAGAAAAACAAAATGCCTGCTTTGAATTGTTTAATGAATTTTGCATTTCAGCTGGAAAACTACTCATTACGCCCCTAATACTGGTTCTGGGACTGGCACTGGGAGCCATAGCTGTTGTAATAGGTAAGAGTTATATAAGTGAATGAGTCTGATTCTGATTTTTCAGTGACTTTCTATATGGCATCTCAGTATTTTCATCTCAGAGATGGACACAAAGTACAAATTTCACAGGTGTCATTTTAGTTTAAAGCATGTTACTTCTTTCTAAAAAAATTGGGTTTAAAATCTTTTTCTTGCATTTTATGGCTATTAGTGTGGTGTTGGTTTTTTTTTCCTGACTATTTGGTTTTCTGGACCAAAATCTTTAACTACTATAGTTAAACTAGTAAAAAGGCCAAAGTAATTTAAACATAGTCCTGGGGGCTGCCTGGCTGACTTGGACCCTTCCTTTAATCACCCCAGTGGACCACAATTCTAAGATCTTGGCCATGTTCATGGCAAGATTTCTGGGGCACTAGGCATCGTCCCAAGAGCCCTCCAGCTTGAAGATGCAACAACAGCAAAGCAGCAAATTGAGATGAGTCAATCTCAAAATCTGATTCAGTGTATAGGCTGCCAAATTGGATTCCATCACAAAAAAAAAAAAATGGTACTGTAAGCTCATTTGGTATAGTATCAAAGCTCTGTTAACGTGGTTGTATTGATGTGGATGTAGTTTTTCTAGCAAATCTACTCTTTGCCTGGCTTAATTGAATGCACCTGCAGAAATTAAACAAGCCATAAGGATAAATGTATAATTTTACTCATGTAAGTGCATATCCACCATTTATGTTGGCAGTAATATGTTAATTGGGGATTATGCTGCTTCACAACTCTTCACCAAACTACTTACTCCATTGGAAATTTGCAGTGTATGCCCAGTCCTGGGGCATGTTGAGATGACGCCTTTATTTTGATATAATAAAGCCAAAATATACCGGAATAGTTACATTAGTAAGATTGTATATAACCAATCAGCATATAACCAAAACACCATTACAACTTTCCTAGACTACATCTGGCCAAATAAGGAATACTGCTATTAATTTCAGTATTTAGGCTAAGAATACATATCCTTTTCCTGTATCAATATTGTGTTGGATTCACTGAAGTCAGAGACACACATACATATCTTTTAAATATTTATTCTTTTTAGTGACATTTTTATGCCAGAAATACAGGCAATAAAGACTTCTTAATGCCAGTAAAGCTTGTTTTGCTTAGCAATCTGGTATAACCTGGAGCCCTGGAGGGAAGAGGGGCCTAAGAAAGCTGGTTAATATCCAAGGATTATCTCCTCCAAGCTCAGGAGCGATGCATCCTGACAAAGAGGAAGTCAGGTAAGAACGACAGGAGGCCTTCATGGATGAACAAGGAGCTCCTGGACAAGCCTAAACACAAAAAGGAGGCCTACAGAGGGTAGAGACAAGGACAGGTAGCCTGGGAGGAATAGAGAGAAACTGTCCGTGTAGCCAGGAATCAGGTTAGGAAGGCCAAAGCCCTAGTAGATTTAAATCTGGCCAGAGACATCAAGGGCAAGAAGAAAAGCTTTTACAGGTGTGTTAGTGATAAAAGGAAGACAAAGGAAAATATGGGTCCTCTCCAGGAGAAAATGGGACACCTGGTTACCAGGGATATGGGGAAGGCTGAGGTACTCAGTGACTTCGTTGCCTCCATCTTCACCAGCAACTGCTCCAGCCACACCACCCACGATGCAGAAGGCGAGGGCAGGAACTACGAGAATGAAGAACTGCCCACTGTAGAAGATGGTCAGGTTCAAGATCATCTGAGAAACCTGAAGGTGCACAGGTCCATGAGACCTGATGCAATGTATGCTTAGGTCCTGAGGGAACTGTTGGATGAAGTGACTAAGCCACTATCCAACATATTTCAGAAGTTGTGGCAGTCCAGGGAAGTTCCTGCTGAGAGGAAAAGGGAAAAAAAGAAGACCCCAGGGAACTAACTGGGTCAGTCTCACCTTTGTGCCCCAGAAGATAATGGAGCGGATTCTCTCAGAAGCTGTGCTAGGGCACGTGGAAAATAAGGAGGTGATTGGTGACAGCCAACATGGCTTCATTAAGGACAAATTGTGCCTGACAAATTTGGTGGCCTTCTATGATGGGGTTACAGTGTTGGTGGATAAGGGAAGAGCAACTGGCATCATCTACCTGAAGTTGTGCAAAGCATTTGACGCTGTCCCATATGACATACTTGTCTCTAAATTGGAAAGACTTGGATTTGACAGATGGAACATTGGGTAGATAAGGAATTCACTGGATAGTCACACTCAGAGTTGCGGTCAACAGTTTGCTGTCCAAATGAAAAACAGTGACGAGTGTTGTTCCTCGGGGGTCAGTGTTGGGACTGGCTCTGTTTAACACCTTTGGTGACATGGACAGTGGGACTGGCTGCACCCTCAACAAGTTTGCTGATGGCACCGAGCTGCGTGGTGCTGTCGACACGCTGAAGAGAAGGGATGCCATCCAGAGGGACCTGGGCAGGCTGGAGAGGTGGGCCCGTGCAAAAGTCATTAAGTTCAGCAAGGCCAAGTGCAAGGTCCTGCACACGGGTCAGGGCAAACCCAAGCACAGATACAGGCTGGGTGAGGAGTGGAGTGAGAGCAGCCCTGCGGAGAAGGGCTTGGGGGTATCGGTGGATGGAAAACGGACTATGAGCCAGCAATGTGTGCTCGCAGCCCAGAAAGCCACCCGTGTCCTGGGCTGCATCAGCAGAAGTGTGGCCAGCAGGTCGAGGGAGGGGATTCTTCCCCTCGGCTCCGCTCTCGTGAGACCCCACCTGGGGTACTGTGTCCAGCTCTGGGGCCCCCAACATAAGAAGGACACGGACCTGTTGGAACGAGTCCAGAGGAGGCTGCGAAGATGCTGGGGGGGCTGGAGCAGCTCCCCTGGGAGGCCGGGCTGAGAGAGTTGGGGTTGTTCAGCCTGGAGAAGAGAAGGCTCCGGGGAGACCTTACAGCAGCCTGCCAGTACTGAAAGGGGGCTACAGGGAAGGTGGGGAGGGACTCTATCAGGGAGTGTAGGGATAGGACAAGGGGAAATAGTTTTAAACTGAGAGAAGGTAGATCTAGATTAGATGTAAGGAAGAAATTCTTCCCTGTGTGGGGGGTGAGGCGCTGGCCCAGGGTGCCCAGAGCAGCTGTGGCTGCCCCCTCCCTGGAAGGGTTCAAGGCCAGGTTGGACGGGGCTGGGAGCAACCTGGGCTGGGGGAAGGGGGCCCTGCCCGGGGCAGGGGGGTTGGAACTGGATGATCCTTAAGGTCCTTTCCAACCCAAACCGTTCTGTGATTCTGAAATCTATTCTGGAAAAGAAACGCTCTTTTGCTTATATTCAATATTAAGAGGGTTTTGCAGTAATATAGTAGTGTTAATTGCAGTAACACCCAGTATGCCATTGAAGTCCCATCCAAGGTATGGCTGAATAAGATATGATCAAGAGCAGCAGTATGAGCAGTTTCAAAAATATTATTTATTTATAGGAAAGTTTTGTTTTTCAGGTAAGTACAGCAGTATTTTATGCCAACACAACTGTTAAATTAATCAAACTAAGTAAAGTAAGACCCTGATGACTGTATTAGTCTTTTGTTAGATGTTGTTACTGCTGTGGTGTCTGAAAAGGAAATCTTTCACTATTTCAGTCAGTTAGTGGCAAGAGAGAGGGGGAGATCCTTCTCATTTGGGTTTGAAAGAGTACCTCTTTTGACAAAATATTTTTCATTTGAATAAATCTGATTGCTTTATTTATCTATTTTTCCTTTTACAGCTTCCTTTCTCTCAGAAGACTTTTAAGAATAAATAGTTCCCTGCCCAGGCAAGGATAAGCATTCGGTATTACTTCACAATAACTGAGGATGTTTGTGAAAATAAATAATATTTTTAATTAAAAAAAAAAAAAAAAGCCATAACATGCTGCCTCTATTGCATGTGAAACTGGTTGAAAATTAATCAGCCTTGGATTTAGATTGAAGTGTTACATTACATAGTTCTTTTAAAAGTTTTAAGTCTGTCTTATACAAAACAGCATGGTTCAGGAATTAGTTTATCAAAGATAGGAGCAGGGTTAGCAAGAGTTTGTTGTAAAGTAAATAAAGTGTAGCATAACTCATTTCTGAAGAGACTCTTGCAGGCTGGTATTTATTCTGCTTGTCTAAATTCTCTTGAGACATGGAAAGCTGCATCTGAATACATATATTGAAAGTATAGAAGGAACTTACAAAGGATTGCATTTAATTATTATTTTCTTCTTTTGGCAGGTTTATTTGTGTTTCCTATCTATTGCCTTTGTAAAAAGCAGAGGAAAAGGTCACGGACAGGTATGCCCTGGTAAGGATGGACCTTACTCACCTGAACTGAGCTGGTCCTGCAAGGGCTATACGCGCTTTGTGCAAAGGAGCAATACAGTGCTGGTAACAGCATCAAAGCCACCACCCTGGATGAAGAATGAGCAATCTCCTGCCATCTTCCCTCAGCTGAAAACACTACTGCAGACCAGAAAGCCTCTTTGCTCTGGTGCACTCTGAACAAGATGGGCCCCCTGACTGCTGCTTTTTAAATGTTTTGGGGTTTGGGTTTTGTTTTTGTTGGTTTGTTGTTTGTTTTGTTTTGGTTTTTTTAATTATTACTTTGGAGGGGTTTTTGAGTCTAAGTTTCTGAACTAGACAATCAAAGTCTGTATTGTAGCCACAACTCTACTACCGATCTGGCCTGTGAAGAAAGCATTTAACTGCTAACATGTGCTCCGTTTAACTTCAGTGTCGGCCTTTAAGGGGGAAATGCTTAGAAGCGTTTGGACTCTAACTGTATACTGAGCATACTACTTTTGGTATTAAAAACTACTTCTGTAAATAACTTCCATCACACAGCATTCTGTTCAGCATACCGAAACCCCGTCACATGCCAGAGCATGACAGCTGGTTATCTTCTGAGCCCTGCTAGTGGGCAAGAGTGTAGATTTCCACCACCAAACTGCAGTGCCTCAGAGGGAAATACCCTTAGAATTGAAGCTCCATGATACCTACAAATATGCTGATTGGTTTCACTTCAGTATTTAATTTATGACAGTGTACTAATATTGATTGGGGGGTGACAGATTTGTTAGAAGAGTACAGCATTTTGAAACTCTTCCAGTACAGAAAAATTGGAAGGGTTTAGATAAGAAGTGTCAGTGGTCTGTTCCTGTCCCAAGATATCCCTGAAGTGTCTTTCCAGGGAAGCTGGAAACCTGCTCTTCTCTTCTGACTTGGCACAAATACACATGCTACACACTAGTTGTGTGAAGACTGACGTGATGAAATTTTATAACCTAAACAGCACGTTTCGTTTGTTTGTAGTAGGCTACTTAAGTCTTAGAGCATCCACTGATGTCTCATGAGGAGAATTGTGAATTTGGGTAAGGGGAGGGTTCATGAATCATTGGGAGACAATTTCATTGTTATTATCTGCTTCCAGTGTTTCTCTTCCTGGTGTGTTAGAGATCTGAAGAGAATAGCTATCCTTGCTCTTGTTTCTTAACTTCACAGTACCACTGTTTGCTACCAGACCTCTTCCTCAGCACATCACCACAAGAGCAATGTAATTCAGTGTTAGGAATTAGCTACTGAGAATTTTTTCGCTTTTAGTTATAATCCAAATTTCTCATACAAGTATAACTTAAAATAAAAAAGAGGAAAATAAATTTGTGTAAGCAGAACACTGAAACAATAAAGGAAGGAACTGAATAAGAGAAATATCTACTTTATACTTTAAATGTTCAAACTGATCTTAAAGGAGATTGGACTTCTACTTTGAAGGTACTTTTTTTTCAGTGGGTGTGCTTGAAGATGCATATATATATATATATATATGGGGAGAGAGGGGAGCAGGGAGATGGGCAGTGTCCTCAGAAGTCTACAGACTTCAAGATGCCTACAAATAGCATATCATTTGAAAGGATGTTCTTTGCACCACTTTCTTTGAAAACTGTTATTAAATCTGAATCTAGTTGTAATTTCTAAGCAAGTATTATGCTGCCCCACCAACCTAATGCTGTTATAAGATGCTCACTGTGACTTCAAAGCCTCAGTGGAAGAAACTGATGAATTTTGTTTACCTGGAAACACAAGTATCAGCTTACCGTATTTGACTAGTATGCTTGTCTTCTGCTAGCTTCTGATTTTTTTGTTTGTTTGTTTGTTTGTTTTCTTGGTTAGACTTTTCTTGTTGTTGAAACAGTGTGTACAAGCACACCACAGTGGTCAACAAGTACTTAATATTTCCATTTGAATTTAGTGCATGTTGACCTTTATAATAGTACCTTTATAAGATCTGGAAATTAAGCAGGGAAGCAATGTCATTTAGAAGTAAAATTCAAAGCCTATTGTCAGTGCAAATTCACCAATTAATTAGATTTCTTATGTGACATGTCAGTTTTGTTTGAGTTCTGTCTGAGGTTGGAAGCTGCCTTAAAATCGGTCTTGGTTTTGAGTGTGTTTTCTGAGGCTATACATATTAGTTGTCTTTGGCTTACTCAGGGATTTTTATTCCTTTCTTTAAATGTCAAATAATGAAGATATTTTTGTATTATTTAGAAAAACCTTCAGACCTCAGAGCGAGATAAATAGCTAGATAGATTTGGGTTTGCAGTGCAGTCTCTAATATGGTGTCAAACTGTGCCACTTGAGAATATTTTAGTACTTGAGATTATCTGTAGCTAACTATATGGCGGACTAATTTCCTTTCTTTTCCTGGTTCTTTATAAATATGTGAGAGATTCTTACTGTCTTTAGCTGTTTTCACTCTGATGTGTTTTCCACTTTCAGTTTCTGATGGGAGTTCAGTAATATCTGAAATTAAGATGCTAGAATAAAGAGCATAAAAGGGAAGATAATAGATCTGCACTTATTTATATTCGGAAAGCATGTCACTGTGGGTGGAGAAAAGGAAAACATCTCAACTCCTACATTATAATTTCATCTAGGCCATTTTGATTTTATCAGAACAGATTAAATCAAATGGAAATGGTTCTTCATTTTCTACATATAGCAAAATGAAGCATCTTTGACCTGGTAAAGATGAGAGAGAGACTTATCTTGCTTTGTCTTTTAAAACAAAATAGAACAAAAAAAAAAACAAACAAAAAAAAAAAAAAAAAAAAAAAAACAAAGAAAAACCAAGAATATTTGCTTTTGCTTTTCTGTAGAACAGGAAAAAATTTCAACAGCCAGACAGAGGAGGGATATGGACGTGTTTTTCCATTCATATAAAAACATTCCCACTTAAACTACAATTTTTCATCAATGTTACACATAGAATCATAGACTTTAAGGATCATCTGGTTCCAACCCCCCTGACCCGGGCAGGGCCCCCTTCCCCCAGCCCAGGGGGCTCCCAGCCCCGTCCAACCTGGCCTTGAACCCTTCCAGGGAGGGGGCAGCCACAGCTGCTCTGGGCACCCTGGGCCAGCGCCTCACCCCCCGCACAGGGAAGAATTTCTTCCTTACATCTAATCTAGATCTACCTTCTCTCAGTTTATTTTCCCCTTGTCCTATCCCTACACTCCCTGATAGAGTCCCTCCCCACCTTCCCTGTAGCCCCCTTTCAGTACTGGCAGGCTGCTGTAAGGTCTCCCCGGAGCCTTCTCTTCTCCAGGCTGAACAACCCCAACTCTCTCAGCCCGGCCTCCCAGGGGAGCTGCTCCAGCCCCCCCAGCATCTTCGCAGCCTCCTCTGGACTCGTTCCAACAGGTCCGTGTCCTTCTTATGTTGGGGGCCCCAGAGCTGGACACAGTACCCCAGGTGGGGTCTCACGAGAGCGGAGCCGAGGGGAAGAATCCCCTCCCTCGACCTGCTGGCCACACTTCTGCTGATGCAGCCCAGGACACGGGTGGCTTTCTGGGCAGCGAGCACACATTGCTGGCTCATAATCCTTTTTCCATCCACCGATACACCCAAGCCCTTCTCCGCAGGGCTGCTCTCACTCTACTCCTCACCCCGCCTGTATCTGTGCTTGGGTTTGCCCCGACCCGTGTGCAGGACCTTGCACTTGGCCTTGTTGAACTTAATGACTTTTGCACGGGCCCACCTCTCCAGCCTGCCCAGGTCCCTCTGGATGGCATCCCTTCTCTTCAGCGTGTCGACAGCACCACGCAGCTCGGTGCCATCAGCAAACTTGTTGAGGGTGCAGCCAGTCCCACTGTCCATGTCACCAAAGGTGTTAAACAGTGTAGCATAACCAACTGAAGTATAAGAATGAGTTTAGTACAAAATTTCATTCAACAAAAATTTAGCTTTTAAACAGCTCTCGTATCATGGGAAATCATACATACATCAAAGTCTTGTCATTTGTTTTAGAAGTTTAATATATCAGTTTGAAAGAAATTAACTTTGCTGTAAGGAAATTCAGGGATGTTTTTCTTTCATTTTGTAACTGTACTCCAAAGAAACCATCAGACTGTTCTGCTCCATCTTCATTAGCCGAAAACTTCATCAGGCAGCTGAATTAACCTGCTAAGGCAGATTTCACGCTACTGTATGCTGATCATCACTGACGATCGGGTTTGCTTTCACCACGTTTAAGATTATTTATCCTTGCGTGTAATTGTTGCTCACCAGTATCTGTATTCAGACCAGGAAATGCTTAAATCCATTCTACAGTAGCCTTCTAGTTGAGGCTGGCCTGAAATGGATTTTCGCATGCCCTTGGGCCTCCCTCCTTGCAGTGGTGCGGGTGGAGCTGGTGCCCTCCCGGCAGCGCCGTGCTGTGTGCGCCCACTCCTGCTCCTGCTGCGGGGGGCTGGCCAGGCACGCCAGGCGTGAGGGGGCTTCTCTCCTTTTCTCCACCAAGAGTAGTTATATTCCATTAATTACGTCAAGTTTCATGCCTGCTCAACGATGTCAGTGGCAGGATGATTCTTACTGCTGTGACGCCTCAGAGCATAGCTAGGTGTATTTGCAGACCTTATCCAGGAGCTCCTGACTGGAAAATAATTGTGCTTTTCCTTGTGTCAACCTATTAATCACTGAGAATAAGAATCTAAGTAGGTATACAAATGAGAGTCGTAAGGGTGGTTCTGCGTAGCCTCATACTGTAGCTGATCCATCTGTTTTAATTTCTTACAAAAAAGTCTGTTGGTCTTCAGTTCTCACCACTTCTATATCAAACAGCATATTCGCATCTTTCAAATGTCATTAAAATACAGTGCATCTTGAGTGATCTATTATCTTCCTTTGGGGCAGTGCAAATGTGTAGGTAAGAGAAGATTTTGTGCTTGGTTTTGATGTTACTAAGGCTGACTTTGTAATTCTTCCTGGTATGTTAGAGGTTTTTCTAATTTACATCTATTTATTGGTTCTGAAAGTTTGAACAACGTGAAGTTTTACTTGATTAAAAATATTAATTTGCAGGGACTGTTGCCATTATAACTAGGAGGTGTTTTGGATCACCATCAAGTATTCTTTTTAGCCAAGGGGCTTTCTGCTTTTCCAAAGACTGCCATAGCTTGTGTGACGTTAAGTGGTGTGTAGGTAAGGCAATAATTCTGTCAGAGGATACAAATTCTCCAGCGATTGAATGGTTTCTCTTGCCAGTTAGATCTGAGAAACTGTTTCATATTTAATGGCCAAATAGTTTGCCATGCAGAATCTGAGATTTTTTAAAATGTAGTTGTGGTGTTTTGTTTCTTGAGCAAACCTTGCATCGTTCATAATTCTTGGCATGATAATTATGTAGGTCCAAGTTGTGGATAAGAACCATCGATTATTGTTACTTTTATAATCTATATTAGATCTCTGATTTTGCCGATGGAAAGAATCCTATCCGACGAAACTATTAGAGAGATGATTTCTTAATTTCCTTCAATTTTGCAGCCTTATAGTTGCAGTAGGTCAGCTCCATTCCTAACATCAGTCATAGTCCCATTAAACCAGAGAAGTCGTACCTGTTTTTATGACAGTATGGAATTTGGTCACAAATACTTTGATAAAATATCTGGAAGTATGTTGATAGCCATTGTGCAGCAACTTGAAAATCTGATTAACTTCTGAGGAAGTGCAAACTACTATGGAGCTGGTCTTCTCACTTACAGAGTGATGCTAGTGCCATTTAGTGAGGGCAGGGAGTAGGGTAGAATTTCCAAATTGTATTCTTATTAAAGCAAATTGTCAGGGGAAGGAATACTAGCTTTTAATATAATAGACCTTCATAATGCTTTAAATCACTAATAAAGTTAGAAACATAATCCATAGACAGTGTTAAATAACATACTTTAAAATTCTGCTTTCTTCAGCATAATGGATATTAGCACAGTATAAAAATTGGAATTACAGCTGCTCAGTATTTTTCGGACTTGACATATTAACTTGAAAAAGAGGGCACACAGCATTTTAAAAGTTATGTTGCTGATGTATTTGGTAGCTTGTCTTGCTACTGTTATATGAAAAACCAGCTGAGCCTTGATTCAACTGCACGACTAGCAGTGTTTTCACTTAAGTATTGCTCAAGCTATAACAACACCCCCAAACTTTTTTCTCAGTAAACTAAGAAATGCAGCTTGTTGCAGTTACACAGGACTGTAGCTTCCTGGCTGATTCTTCCTTATCTTTCTGTGCGTAAGAGCTCAGGATCTATATGTATTCTCTCCAGTAAGGACGGGAGTGCTCATATTAGATAATCCCTGATGCTTCTCTTAGCCTGACAGTGAAATACCACAAGGTAGGGAAATGAAAACTGATTTTAGAGTGCATGCTCCAATTTCAAAGATAAAAATGTGTAATAAGCTTTAATTACTTGCTCCCTGGTAGAAAATAAATACATAAATTTATAAGCATAATTCCAGTTGTCTATTTCTAAATATGTTTGTGTTGGTTTTTTGGTTGTTTTTGTTTGTTTTTTTTTTTTTCTTTAAAAAAAAGGAGTAGTTGTAATAGCAATTAGTTTCTTTTGTACAATACATATTTTTTAAATAATACCTTTTTGGAGCTTATTTGGCCTATCAAAACTTGAAAAAGTAATCTGAAGTTTTTTAGGTGGATGGAAGTCAGAAGAGGAGAAACTTGCTGTTTAAAAATATTTGATGCTTTTAGCATACACATGGATGTTGCACATACCTGCTCAAACACAGTTGCATGCTAACCCCATTCAGTGTTCATCTTGTTGAAAACTTGTCAGACAGCAAACAGTATTGTTGAAATTTTAACCTGCTGTCACTGAGCATGATTGATGTTACTAATACGGTGCCACATTTACCTCATTTTTAGAAGGAAAATCTACTTACAGAATCCAAGCAAGCTGTTCAGATATTTTAAACCTGTCCTGTAAAAAATGTGCTGATGCAGTCAAGAAACATTTTCATGCCTTATGCAAGCTCTGGGAAAGCAGATGGGTTCAGTCTTCAGTCATGAGCTATCTTTTTGAATAAAAAATGTGCTCTTAAGAGTTCTTCCTATCAATTTACATTCTGCTGCTTCATGTCCAGAAATTGCAAGGACAGGGGTAGATTTACATTTCACTGTGTTTACCATCTCATAATAAAATGTTTACCATATTTCCATTTGTCATACACTTTTATTTCTAATACTCTTCTTTTCCTCACAAATTTCATAATTTTAGACTGACTTGTGAAAATGGCTGAAGATTAAATTGGACCTGGAAAATGTTATCTCATAAGAAGTTGTTCCGGTAATGCTTTGTTGAGCTATACCAGGAAAAGCTTAATTCTGTTGTATTTAAATTACTTAAATGCAAAATGATGATATCTGTTTTTTCTTCAGGACTTTTAATTTTGCATTTTTAAAAATGTAATTAAAGAGCACAGTCTTCTTTGTTACGTAACTAATTATCTGAGTCCAAATAACTTTTTAAGGTATTTGTTAATTCTTGCGACTGT